CAAATCCAGCCCATTTAACCTGGGTTCCTCCGGCGCGGGTAGCTGCTGTATTTCTGCGTTCCGTTCCGGTTCAAGGTCGTCCATCTCAATGTCTTGAGCAGGCCCCTCTGCTTCTTCCATCGGTTCATCCTGAGCATGCTGACGTTCCACTCCAGATATTGGAGCGATCGTATCATCGTTCCTCGTCACATGGATGACCGTTCCTGAAGCTTGCGGACTGCGTGTCATAGATTCCGGCCCACCTCACGCTCGTCCAGCTTGACCTGACCGTGTCACCTTGACCTTCGACGCATCCATGTCGTACACACGATATCCTTTCACGTTCTCAGCGTACCTCGAGGAACGTGCACTTGAAAGCTCTTGGGTTCCAGCTTCGTTCTCATCACGTCGTCCACATGAGCGTACCCTTGTGACCCAAAACCACGTAGGTGTTCTATCCGTGGCTTCACCTGGAACGACAGCTCGTACGGCGTGACATCAGAGTTTGATGTGCTCGTGGAACGGTTGATGAGATACACTGCAGTACTAACCGCTTCCGCCCACCACTGCGTCGACATAGACTTGTAGTGCAGCATGCTTCTTGCCTTCTCCATGATGGGTCGGTTCATGCGTTCCGCCACTCCATTCTGCTGAGGGCTGTATGGAACGCTACGCTGATGCACGATGCCGTTCCGTTTGCATAGTTCCAGAGCTGTCTTGTTCACGAACTTCGTTCCATTATCGGAACGAAGACATTTTAGACGTTCCCCCCACTGTGTTTCGTACAATGCCTTGAACTCCTTCAGTTTGCTGCCGACCCTCGCTCTTGCTCTTCATAAAGTACGCAACGACAACGCTTGGAGTAGTTCGGCTACGAACGTCAGAACATATTTGGCACCACCCTTTGAGATCGTTCTCATTGGGCCCATTACGTCCGTGTGTACTAGTTCCAACACACACGTCGTTCTCGTTAGCGATCGTGACGGGAACGTCGTCACGGTCTGCTTTCCCTCCACACATCCACCGCACAGAGTCTCGTTCCTATTTGTCACATGTGGGATACCAATTGTAGAACGTTGAGTCTTCGTCAGCGCGTCCTTGTTGGGGTGACCCATGTGAGCGTGCCAAAGCCTCCACTCGCTGTCAGGACCGGCGTATTGGAACGAAGTGTGCCTCCTCCTGCTGACAGTCCAGCAGGAAAGGCCTTACCGACCTTCTTCCCTGACGCTATCGCAGCGTTCCGTTCCCAAAATTACACAACTGGAACGCTAAAACTCCACGCTCATGCCTCGTTCCGCGAGCTTCCCGACCGACAATGACCGTCTATCAAGCCCCGGAATGTGGAGCACGTCCACCATTCGGATGCGCTTACCGTCCAAACCAGTCAACTTGACCGTTCCGGGTCCTGCGACGCGCAGCTTCTTACCATCTGCAATCGTCACGTTGATGCCACTGTCTAGTGCCTCGTACCCAAATAGGTCATTCCGGTAGGGGGTCATGTGCGACGTCGCACCACTATCAATCAGCCACTCGGCCGAGCGCTCCCCACCAACCGCAAACACTGCATCTTCTTGACTGCTCTTCTTCGCAGCAGGACAGTCCCGCTTCATGTGACCCACTCGGTCACAGTTGAAACACTTGCCCTTGAAACCAACGTTCCGTTTCGGAGCGTTCCATTTTCGATCGTTCCGATTTTGACCGTTCCCTCGGCCGTTCCGGAACTTGCCTGCGTTTCGATTCACTTGGAACGCCTTCTCCGTGGTTCCTTCTTCTCGAGTCGCTCGTACTCCTTCAACAGCTTTTTCTTGGCCTCGATGAGCGTCACACCCTTGGCGTTCTCCACGATAGACGAAATGAGCTCGTACTCATCGGGGAGGCTGCTTAGCAGCACCACCAGCTGGCGTGCCTCGTCCATGGGCTCTCCTAGCTTCTGCAACCCGACGATCAGCTCATCAAACGCATCCAGATGCTTGACCATAGTCGATCCACTTTCCATCTTGAACTCGTGGAGGCGACGCGTCATCGTCACGCGGTTGTGGAGCGTGGTGCGGTTATAGAATTCTCGCAGCGTTCCCCAAGCTACTATGGAACGAGTGGCCGACCGAATCTTGGTCTGAGGCTGGAGTTCCACTCCCTGAGCGATGATGCCGAGCGCCTTGGCATCATTGACGAGCCACGCCTCGGTGATCGTTCTCCGGCTTGACGGCTTCAATATGCGCAAGCAGGCCCTTCCTGGCTAGCGTCATGCACATATTGTACTCCCAGTGGAAGTAGTTCCCACTCCCTAGGAGGACTTCGGCGCGCTTGGTCGTCGTCGTGTTTTGGAACATTCCGGTAGAGTTGAGCGTTGCGGCTGTTAACCTGTTGTTGTTGTTAAAGGCAAATGCCGAAGTGAGTAGATGAAATCTGTCCTCTAACCTTCAGTGCTCCTGGCCATCCACCAGATTAACCGGTTTGGGACCGGTCCAGTTTGGAACGTCACGCCTGATAGCCGAACCGTGCAGAGTCGGTGCATATCAACAACCCATACTTAATACCTCTTGCTAAATATGCAGTTGTTAATGGCCTTAAAGGTCTTTTTTCACCTAAGATGTAATAAATATTATTTTTATTCTTATATGATTTTTTGTTATATTTTTTATAAGAATAAGAATATTTATTATCTTTTTGATTAAAATGCTGTTTATTAAATTTTTTATTTTTTTTTCAAAGGGCTTAACTCTCAGCGCTCAATCCTCATGACTCTATATTAGCCAAACGATCTTTTAATTTATCTATCTCACCCAGAAGATGCTGAATCATCTTCACATTATAAGCCGATATTCGACTGTAATCAACGTTGAGCTATTGCTTAGCTGGTTCAAGGCTTGGGTCTTCTCCCCCTTCAATATCATCTCTGTAAAAGATCGATATCAAATCAGTTAGATGGGCTGAGACCAAATCCTGAGCTATGAGACCGATTTCTTGTCCAGGCTTGTTTTTCCGACTCGATCCAGTCATAGAGCTTGACCTCACAGCTATCGTAGAGCCGCTTCACACGATCAATTGGGCATGATTGAATATTCTTTTTAAGGCGTCGATCCGACGTCATCGCCATGGCTGTACAGGCAATGTATCCTCCGAATATACCCGCTACTGAATATGTGATCGGGCCAAGAGCGGATTCTGTAGCTCCACTATCTGTTCTGAGGCGATACACTGTCGTTCCGCCTGCTCCAAATACAAAAATGTTGCTGTCAGGGACGTGCAGCGGAGCTGAAGGACTTGTAGTACCAAGACCAAGACGACCTGTGGTAGTAAGAATCATCGACGTCGAGTTATTGACCCCAAATCTGAGGTCGTTGTTTGTGATGTTCCCGATCCATGACGCGTTCGCTGTGGTTGATCGATTGCCATTATGGACTTGGATCTGGAATTGAACAGGAGTCGTATTCGCGGTCAGAGTCATCATTCGTGTGTAAGAACCATCAAGAAAGTCCAATCCACTACCAGTAATCGAGAAATATTCATTCGTTGCTGTAGAGTTGATCCCAAGCTCTGTCAGCGATCCTACTGTTGTTATAGCTGATTGGTTTCCATACGCTAAAAACCCATTGATAACGCCGAAGCAGCTGATATCCCCACTCGTTGACAGATTATTGAGCGAGAGGGAAGTCGGAATAGATGTTAAAAAGCTTGATAGGTCATAATACGTCGAGCCCTGGCGCAAGTTCGTGCAGGTCAGAGTAGTAGCCGTTACCGAACTTAGGCCTCCGATATTCGAGCTTGCGTCGCATAATAGGAATTTATTTGGCGTTGCGGTACCAAAACTAACTCCGTTTATGTATTCAAGAAGGCCCAAATCGTATGTAGTCCCGTTCTGGCGATATTCTCGACAATCGATGTAGCTTGAAGTGCCTGATATCGATATCGAGTGCGATGACCCACTGAACGATAAATTTCCACCGATCGTAAGAAAGAGCCGAGAGACGTTATATTTGGTTGGGATCCGGTTTGTAGCGTTCCAGTAATAGTAAAAGCTCCAAAGCTATTAATTCCGCTGATATTGCCGGACGAATCGAGAATCAAAGTTTTGCTGTACGAAGCAGTTCCTGCTATTACTCCGCTAAGGTAGCCCATCCTGTAATCATCCTTGCTCAAATATAGTGTCTGCGCATAATCGTATGTTAGGTAACCACTCGAGTCTAACGAAAGATAGAATGAAGGATTATAAATGGATGATTGAAATGTAGGCTGTGGATATGAAAAACCGGAGCTCATTTTGTTTAATCCTATATAGATCAAACAATTTTAGTCATGAGTGCTATTCCTGACTTCGGGGCTTCGATTCCGAAAAAATTCAAGTCTGCTTCGATGGGTGATATCCCCGCATTGGATATGAAAGCTTTGTTTAGAATGGTTGTGCTCGGTCCAAGCTTTTCAGGAAAGAACAATCTTTGTATGTTTATTCTCAAGCATTCTCCTCACGTATTTGCTCATCTAAAAATCATTGCTCGTAATCCTCATCAGGAGCTTTATGAGTATCTCCGGGAAAAGTTGGAAGGATTCATCACATTTGCTGACCCAGATAGCCCTCCTAAAGTAGATCAGGTGCGTCATACTCCATTAAGCTCTAACAAACCGGAGCTTGTTATCATCGATGACTATAGCAATGATAAACTACTTCAGAAAATTATCTTCTCTCATTACTATACACGTGGGCGACACTTAAAACTCTCAACCATATTCCCAAGTCACAGCTACTTTGCCACTGATAAGATGATTCGGTTGAATTTAGAGTACGTAGCGATTCTAAAAGCGAATTCGAAGCGTGATTTACATATGGTTGTAAAGGATTTTAACATTAAAGGCGTTGATGAACGATCAATCGTCTATTACTACAATAAAGCCACGGAGCGCAAAGGACAGATGCTGTTCGTGGATTCAGTCAAAGGTCAAATCAGATACAACTTTGATCGACCGATAGATATTGAGCAATAACTTTAGAATATTTGTTTTGGGGGAATCAATATACATATACCATGGCAAGTTTTGTTAAACTCGATTCCACTAACCTCGTTCAAGACAATTATAACAGCACATGGAAATACAGCTTTCCTGGCAGTGCTGCCGATTTTAAGGATGTGGTATGCGCGGCTCAATCGATTTCGATGTATAACTCTGAATACAACATCGTTGCAACTCAGCTTCTGAATAAAGCCTTCAAAATCGAGGTTCCGACAGCTGGAACCACATCCAATGTATATGTTGTCCTCCCTGATGGACATTACAGCTATACCGATATTAATCGAAGCATTCCGACGGCTCTCGTAAATGCTGGAGCGTATTTAATTAATCCATTTGGTGAGAACGTTTTCTATATTTAACTAACGGAAAACAGTGTGTATTATGCTGCTCAATTCGATTTTAGCGCTACTCCAACGACACTTCCTACAGCCGGTGGCACTTGGACACGACCAGCAAGTGGGCTTTATTCGTCAGGCGGTACTGGTTTGCCAACAACAACGCGTGTCCCTCGCATCATCATTGATAGCGCCTCTTTTGGTAAAGTAGCAGGATTGACGGCTGGTACGTATCCTTCAGCGTCTGCAACGGCTTCAAGTGCTCAGCTGTCAAATACCATTCCTCAGATTCACCCAACCTCGAGCTACATCGTTCGATGCGACCTGATCAAAAACGAGTATGTTGCCTCTGGTGATATCCTTAGTGCGTTTGACCGTCGTGATGCTCAGGCAGGTCAATTAATCAGCTATAAGCCGAGTCAGTATGCTTGGATGAACTGTCATAACGGCGCGAGAACGTCCATTACAATCAGTATCTATAATCAAAACGATCAAAAGGTTAAGTTCCGTGGTACTTCTGTCTCGATCATGTTGTTGCTGAGGCCAAAAAATAAGCACTCAATGATTTTTTTCTCCCATTCCGCAGAATAGGGTGGATCTACTTTAATTGAAAAGAGCCAGCAATCATTGCTTTCTTACGTTTAGCACGGAGTGCAGCCATCTTAGCCTTCATTTCGGGCGAACCTTTAGCTGGTTTCTTAGGGACTCCTACACCATAGCGTCTCTTTACCTCACCTCGAACCGATTTGATCAGATTCTCATGCTGTGGCTTCGCTGCTTTTGATAGTAGAAACTTCTCGCCTGCATCGACTGCATCAGTTAGAATCCCCTTACGTTTAGCATACCCGAGAGCATTTTTCGCCGCCTTCTTAACATCCGCTACCGAAATACGACCACCTTCTTTCTCTACATCGAGCAAGGCTCGGACGTAGGCAGAGTTTTGAGACTCTACCGGGGTATCGCTGTCAGAGTCATATACTCCAACTCCTGTCAATGACTTAATTGCCGCACTTGCGGGGATTCCTGCTTGAGGGACTCCAAACGCTGTAGCAATAGCAGGCACTGCCGCATCCAGACCCTTTATTTCAGGAAACGCTAGCTTGGCGAAACGAGAAGTGCCGCCCCCGCAGTTCAGGCGGATGGAACCTTCTAGAACCTTCTAGAAGGTTCCACGGCCGCCCTACATCTGCATTTTTTGTATTACATACTGAATCTATGTTAAACTGAGCCTGTCGCTGATTGGCTGAAACTCTACACCTATCATATCTGATACACTCACCCTCTCTCTGGCGTGCGCGTTCCCTCAGTCTTGTCATTCCCGAAATTGCGCTGAAGGCCAGAGGTGCCGTTCCTGACGGATTAGTCCGACCCCGTGTTTACCCACGCTTGCCTTGTGCGGGCCTGTTTACTTGGGGCTTGGGTAGGTCCGTCCTGGGGGATGGCTGTGCCTCTTGCGTCTGCTGCTGCTGCTCCTGCCACTAGCTCGCCTTCCGCCGCTCCCTCGCCTCGCTCGCCGACGCCGCGTGCTCCTGCTGCAGTCCCTGCTGTTCCGGCTGCCATGGTCGATGCTCCTGCTGGTGCTGTAACGCCACCGTCACCTGTACGGGCTCCCGTTGTTCCCTCGTCGCCTGTACGGGCTTCTGTTGCTCCCTCGCCGCCTGTACGGGCTCCTGTTGCTTCATCGTCGCCTGTACGAGCTCCTGTTTCTCCATCCCCGAACGACGCAGCTGCTGAAGCTCCTGGCTCAGGTCTCATGCCTCCCCGTTCGCCTTCGTCTCCTGTTGGCTTCTCTTTGGCTGCGTCTCGCGATGCCTCTGCGTCGTCGCCGCCCACCGTGCTCCAGCAACTCATCTACGAGATCACGATCGAAGGGTTGTGTGGAGATGACGTTGATGGTGATGTTGCGGCTGATGATGCTGGTGATGATAGCGTTGCAGCTGAGGATGTTCCTTTTCAAGAGGTGGGATTGTTTAACGACGAAGATGAGGAGGACACCCAACAGACGAAGCGCGCTCGGCTTCGTCGTGGCGATGAGACGTCGGACTGGCATCCCTTTCCGCTTCCGAAAGCTCCGGAGAGACATCTAACTACGAACCATCGCAACCACTATAATCCGAATGCTCCTTGAGATTATGCGAACTCGGCTGGAATTACACGCTTGCTTGACGTCGAAGGGGAATCTCCGCACCGCTGCTATCTTGTTCAGTGAAAGGGTCGTCCGCTGCAGATGAGCTGGGTCTGGATGGAGTTGCTGGACAAGGAATCGACGCGGTACATGATGCAAAATGTCGACAAGTGGAAGGCTTCGAATTCTGAAATAACATTCATGGGATGGTACGACGTTCGTGCTAGTGCTTCCGAAGCTGGTACGTGTTTCATGGATGCGCTCCGCTGCGCGCTGTACCATCTTGGTCGGCCTAATCTAGTTACCATGGCGATGTGGGATGAGTATGAAAAAACTCGTCCCGAGGCGATTGCGTTTGGCGTATCTCGCGAAGACGTCACGGAGTTCTGGAAAACGCTTCAGCGCCAAAGTGTTCCGTTGGACTACGGCATCATGCTTCCCAATATTCTTCATGAATCCATCGGGAGTGTTGCGACTCTGAACCACTTCTTTGAAGCTTTGGTTCCGGGTACGTACTTGGTGAGCGCAGGCCAGGATGACATCGGTCACTGTTTCGTCGTAGTGAAGACTGGTCCCAATGCTCGCCTGGTCGTGCTTGATGGGTACTCGGCTGACCACGATCCACCGATGGAAGTGTCTCCTCTCTCGAACTACCTTTGGATTGAGAGTGTAAAGTGGATTAGTCGTGTTCAGCTTCAACTTGGGTACGTGTGTCGCCACGGCAAACGCACTTCGAAGACGGCGCGTAACCGGAAGAGACGCTTGATGCAGCAGTAGCTTCAACTTGGAGGGGATGTAGTACGGGAATACATGTAGGTCTTTGAGCCCCCCTTAAGTTAATTTTACTTCATCTTCTCTTTCGTTTCTTGCGCCTTGCAGTCTCAAACTCTACGAGTAGATCTGGGACTTGTGACAAGTTTTCATCCGGTTCCCAGGTCTGCTTCTCTTCTCCCACCCACTCCACAAGGAATTGGGTCCGTCGCTTGTGTGTCATCTTCTTCACCAAGCGTTTGACGATCTGGCCGATACTTCCATCAGCCAGTACAACCTCGTTGGGTCGCGACAAGCGTGTCGACTCGCTGTACGGTTTCAGCGAACCCGTATTGAATACTGGGTGAAGCTTGTTGCCAGCTTGAATGTTAAGTTCGTAAGCATGGTTGTGTATCTTCCGCACAACAGAGTAAGGTCCAATCCACTTCGGACCGAACTTAGTGGATGCTGGCAGACCAGTGTGCTTGGGGTCCAAGTGTTTGGTGCTCAAGTACACACGGTCGCCAACCGCAAAGACTTGTTCTTGTCGGTTCTTGTCGTAAACATCACGCATTCGCTCTTGCGTTTGAGCAAGTGTTTCACGGCAGCGAAAAAGAATAGCTGCTTGGCGCTCGTGAAACTCAGCGCCTCGACGACTCCTTGTAACCGTATCGAGCTGCTCCGCTGCAAGCTGTAGCGGATTCAGCGGAATATACCCTAGATCCGCCTCGAACGGTGCGAGCTTAGTTCTGGAGCTCACCGTTGAGTTGATAGCAAGCTCAGCGTTCGCTAAGTGAATGTCCCAGTCGTCTTGACGTGGACTGACGAAGCATCGAACATACTCTTCGAGCGATCGATTCATTCGCTCAGTTTGTCCGTCGCCTTGGGCCCGGTGTGCTACTGTCATGCTGAGTGACGTGCCGATAGACTTGAAGACGTGTTGCCAAAACGCAGACACGAATTTTCTATCTCGGTCGGATACAATATTCGTCGGCATACCGTGAAGTTTCCAAATGTTGTTAATGAAGAGACGGGCAACGCCTTCGGCTGTTACCTTTTGTTGTCGGCACAAAGTGGCATCTCTTGGTCAGTCGATCGACGACGACCCAAATCGAATCAACGTCACGCTTCGTTCTAGGCAAATCCGTTATGAAGTCCATGGAGATCGATCTCCAGCGCTCATCGGGAATACTCAATGGTTCGAGTAAGCCAGGAGGCTTTGTTAGCCTTGGCTTGTTTTGTCGACATGGTTCGCAGTCAGCAATGAACGTTTGGATCGACTTGAGCATCTTGGACCAGTACCAGCGTCGTGCTAACGTCAAGTACGTTCGCTCGGCACCAGGATGGCCACTGTAGTTGGTGTCATGACTCTCCTTGATTATCGATTGTCTCAACTTCACATCGTTGGGATCAGTGATTCGAGGATGGTCATCCACCGGAGACTGGTACCACAGCAAGCCGTTTGCCTCCGAATAGTATCGGTATAGCTTGTGGTGCTGGTGTTTTTCCTTTGACTTTGAGGTGCTTGTACGTCGCTGGATTGCTGCCCGGATTGTCGGGACATCTCGATCTTTGACGTAAGCACCCTTGATTCTCTTCAGCAGCTCTGAATCTGTAGACACTTGACTAAGAGCAAGACTGAAGGAAGTGTCGTTGAAGCTGGACACACTCAGGTCATGGAAATACTTCGTATCTGGCTGCAAGTCAGGTCTACGACTCAATGCATCCGCGATACTGTTCTTCGCACCTGGAAGATACGAGAACGTGGGTTGGTACTCAGCTAGAATGTCGTACCACCTAGCCAATCGGCGGTTCGCCATCTTCTGTGTGAACAATCCTTCGAGACTTTTGTGATCCGTCTCGACGATCGGTGGTTTGTCTAAGCAGTAAATTCGAAAAGCTGCTAGCGCGTGTACGATAGCAAGTAGCTCCTGCTGCTGTGTAGGATAGTTGAGCTCCGCGGATTTCATCTTTCGACTGGTATACGCAATGGGTCGCTCAACTCCGTCCACGACTTGGAATACTGCTCCACCAACAGCGAATTTGCTTGCATCAGTGCGCAGATGCATGGACTGGCTGAAGTTAGGGAGGTGCAACACTGGAGGATTACACAGTCGCCTCTTCAGCTCCTTGAAATTCTTCAACTGCTCATTATTGAATTGGGATCTTCGCGTTCCTCTTGTTCTTCTTCTTCAAGAGAGTGAACATTGTTGCAGTAAATGCTGCGTAGTCTGGACAAAATCGCTGGACGTAGCCAGTCAACCCATGGAAGCTGTAAAGTTCCTCTTGTGTTCGTGGTACTGGCCAGTCCGTGATGGTTTGTACCTTGTCCGGATCCATTCGTACACCGTTGCGTCCTACGAAGTCCCCGAGACACGGAATCTCGTCGGCACAGAAGACACACTTGGCAAGCTTGACGTACAGCTTGTTGGCACGCAGGATATTTAATGTCTTGCGCAACGCCTTCAAGTGGTCGTCGATGCTCTGAGACTTCGTGAAAACGTAGATGTCATCATAAAACGATTTAGTGTATTCCAAACCTCGGAACAGCTTTGACGTTAAACGATGCATCGTCGCTGGCGCATTACAGACTCCCATGGGCAGAACAAGATACTCCCAGAGTCCATTTGGCGCTTGAAATGCTGTGAACTTGATATCCTCTTCACGCATACGTACTTGATAGTACGCGGACATCAAATCCATAGCGGAAATCCAGTACGCTCCGGACATCGCGTCAAGAATGTCCTCCTTCCTCGTCATTGGGATACTTTGACGTACAGTGTTGGGGTTCAAGTACCGGTAGTCGTGTACAATCCTCCAGCCAACTGGTTTTCGTACACAGAAGGTTGGAGCAGCATGTAGACTGATGCTTGGACGGATGAGCTTCTTCTTCACCATGTCTACAACCCAACGCACAATCTCGCGTTGCTGCTCTGGCGATTGACGCCATTGTTGCCGATACATTGCAAGATTCGGATCCTCCACGTCAATCCTATGCTCAATCTCGCGTTTCTCGGGTAAACCTTCTGGGAGCTCAGGACGGAACACATTGTCCATGTACTCCATGAGTAACTGGTACGCGGGATTCCCCTTGAAGCTATCCCAGTCCGTATCCAGATACCGTTGTGCTTTCGCACTTCCGACGTTGTCGGGTTGATCTTGCCGTTGCAGTGAGCGAGCAACTTGCTTGGTCGTCACGTTCGTCAGAACCAACATAAAGTCAGGTTCATCGATCGACTTGGTCTTGATTCTCGGGAACTTTCGTAGTTTCTTGCGAGTGATGAACTTCGTCTGGACAACAGCCTCGTTAACGACACCGATCGTGAACATATTTTTCACGACAGTGCCTCTGCCCCCAGTACTGCTGCTATCTCCAGCCTCTCGTACAGTACCGCCGCGTTTCGAACATTCTAAGTTGTCCTTCACCGCCGAACCCTTGCCGGCTGACGCGTCTCCTGGTTGTTCGCAAACAACTCTTGGGCTCTCTTTCTGCGTTGCGTCGCAAACAGTTTCAGCCGCGGACTTCACATCCGTTTCCAGCGCGGCACCTCGACAGGAATCGGGTCATTTCGCCGATAGGCCTTTCGCCTCGACAGATCTCCGAAGCCCGGAGGCAATCACCGGTCCGCCTTCCTCGATCGGTCCACTGGTTTCCCCTGTTCGCTTCCAATGCAGAGTCTTCACTTGCCTTCCTTCGATACATCGACCTCTCCAGTCGATCTGCGGCTGCATATCCTCGAAGAATGGGATTCCAAGGATGCAGTCGAATTCGTCGGGTATGGCGTAGACGACAGCGATACACTTGTATGCCTCGCCCAACCCAGACACCAGGATTTCGAGGGGAAGTACCTCCAGTTCCGTCTCGACAATCTGGTTGTCTCCAAGTTTCACACGAATGTTCTTACCAATGAACTTCGTGGCCTTGAGTCGATGTTTCTCGACCCACTGTCTGGACACGTAGATTGTGGTTGCTCCACAGTCCAACAGCATCCTTTGGGTCGAAATGGTCGCGCCACTAACGATGATTTCCCTCTCTACGGAGAACAGTGGACGCGACTTGTAGACGAGAGGGTTTTCGCTCAGAACGTTAAGGCTGACATTCTCAAACTTAACTGATCCGGCTACGTTCTCTTCCACGACAGGACCCTCATTCACTGACGTGGCTGCCCGTTTCCCTGCTTCTCTTGCTCCTTCTTCCAAAGGAAGCAGTTGGTCTTGATGTGGCCAGGTTTCTTGCAGTGGAACAGGTACGACTTTCGGCTCGTTTCGAGCTAGTCTTCGCCTTGAAACGCCCTTTACCACGAAACGTTTTTCCCTTGAGCGACTTGTCATGACTCGGCGCGTGCTCAGTGGACGGCTTCCGCTTGTCTTGGCGAGTGTGACGTTCGCGCGACTCGTCGACGAAGTGTGTCACCTCATACTTGACCGCAAGGTCCATTGCGTCACTCAGGGTCTCTGGGTTCTCGAGCTTGACATAGCTACGCGTGCGCGGCTTGAGACCGTTCGCGTAGTATAGTACTTGGTCAAGCACGCTCATTCCTTCAACTCTGAAGATCAAGGCTGAATACTCGCCGTTGTAGGTCTCGATGTCCGCTGTCTGCTTGAGGCGTTGAAGCTTCTCGCGCAGGACAGACTGGTAATTCGACGCTTCCAAATGTTGGAGCACATGCTCACGGAAAATCCCCCACGTGTGCTCCTCCGCTCGAGTTGTCGACGACCAGTGCAGAAACCATCCGGATGCCGGCTTTTCCATTGCCGATCCGGCGATTCCAGAAAGACGCGCGCTCGTGTCTTCAATTGGAATGTTGTTGATGCGGCAGGCGTTCTCGATCTGGAACAGCCATTCGCGGACGTCTTCCCCCCTCTTGCCCGTGAACTTGGGCAGATGGCTCGGCACTTTCGTGCGGTCGGCCATCGCTTGGTTCAGCCGATCGATCTCGGCGCGTAGCTGGGCGATTGTTGGCATGGGCTCCTTCTAATCAGGTTGCTGGGACCAACAAGTGCTACCAGTATTTCAGGAAACGCTAGCTTGGGGGAGGGCGCGCGAAACGAGAAGTGCCGCCCCCGCAGTTCAGGCGGATGGAACCTTCTAGAACCTTCTAGAAGGTTCCACGGCCGCCCTACATCTGCCTTTTTGTATTACATACTGAATCTATGTTAAACTGAGCCTGTCTCTGATTGGCTGAATCTCTACACCTATCATTTCTGATACACCCTTGCTCAGCAAACCACTATCTTTTACGAATTTGAATGCTGTCGATAACCCTGATTTGATTTTACTCCAAATGGATCCTCCTTGGAGCTTCTTGTAGCCTTTCTTGATCTCATGCTTGGTAATGTCAAGTCTAACCCCACGACCCGCCTTGCGTGCCTTTAGTGCTTTCTCATACGAAGCTGGGTGGAGATGGATAACAGAGCCTGAACCCTCGAGTTGATCAGCTGTAAGACTTAGCTTACCTGTCGTGAGGGCTTTAGTCAGCTTGGGAGCTGATACATCGCTGGAAATCGTCAATTCGCGATACATTATTGCTATATTTCCTGAAACATATTTAATACAGAATTGACAAATTCAGATCTTTGAATCGATTCAATAGATTCGTCTTATTTTTTTGTTTGCAATATAGCCATAGCATGCAAAACGGACCACAATAATCGCCATAAGTGCCTTGATATTGTTTGGGATTGTATCGCCCGATGCCCTACTTCGTAGGTGCCGCTTCCCCCATTGAATCAAATAATTCTCCATCATGAACAGCCTGCCAGTGTCCTATATCGAGATTAGGCGATCTAAGTAGAACCTTTCTTCGGAAGCGGCTTTGTGATCTCATTTGACTCAAAGATAGCATCGAGATGAACCCCAATACGCTTGGCAAGCTCAATTAGATCATGATCGGATGTAATAGGCTTGACGAGTTCCATAACAATTATTTTTGATAAAGTATATTACATGCCATATAGAATCTCAACGATGTCTGGAACACAGCTTTCCGACCAATTTCTTTACCAGAGCTCGCGCAAGAGTGATCCGGAGATTAAAGTCTCCTCTGGCAAGCGCGTGCCTTTCGTTATCGATCTTAACCAGGGGTCATACCAAAACGGTGTTATTACTATCGATGCAACATCCCAGCTTAATGGAAGTGAAGGATTCGCTTCGCTCCGTGATGCCTACATTATGCTACCATACAAGGTATCGATGAAAAACACTCATGCTACTACTGCTCAGGCTAATCCTGCTAACCGTTTTTGCGTTTCGCTGAAGTGCGGAAATTGGATGTGATCGATTCGTTGAGTCTTGAGCTGAATGGTAAGACTATCGTTTCTATGGCTGACTACAAACTGTTTTGGAACAATATTCGTGCTCCGACTGGATATAGTCCTCAGTATGTTGAAAAGCATGGTGCAGAGTCTTTCCTCTTCCCTGATGCTACTCAGTCGTCGAGGTACAGTGCTACGGGCTCTTTTACTGGAGACGGGTATTCGAATAACACTGCGTTCTCCTCCTCCTTCACCGCCGGCGCTATCTCTGCCACAGCTTCAGTAGCAAATGATGGTTTTGTCAAGCGCCTTCTTTCGAACCCACCAAATGCTGGAGCTGACTCATCTACGTCGTGGCCTTCCACTGGTGCCGCATCTGCTACAACCACCATCGCTAATCAGCTGGGACGTGGCGATTTCGTGGCGGGTGGCTATGCTGCTGGCGCTATCATGGGAACGTAGAACTACATGCTAAAAATCAAGCTTGTTAATCTCCACCCGATTTGAAGGAGCTTGATCTTATGGCTAACCCTCAAGTCCGTCTTCGTTTCCAGGTTAATCAGGGTACTGTAGCTATTGATGCTGATACTTCTCGTTATATGACGCTTACAAGTACTACACTATCGAGTGGTAATACATGACCTGTAATGATTGCTTCGTCGGCAAGTAGTAATCCTATGGTTAGTGTCCTTTCAGGTTCAACAGCTGGTTCTATTGCTGTTTTGTGGGGTGCTGTCGTCAATGCGCTTGAACCTACTATTGATGGAACCTACATGCCTTTTACGACTTCTCGACTGTATATCGTGTTTGTTCATTTGGAGAACTCTCAGGCTATCATCTCGAAGCCACTAAAGAAGGTCCGCTACAACGACTGTTATGCACAGTGGTTTTACCAGCGCGCCGGTATTGGCAAGCAAGGGACACAGATTAATGCTTCTTTCGATCTGCAACTTTCGGCTTCTGTAAAGAATGCGAAGTACGTCATTCTTTTACCATTTGCGAGGCAAACTGGAAACTTTGCTACTGCTGCTGTTCAACAGTTTCAGAGTCCGTTTGATACGGCTCCTTGGACACTTCAGCCTGGTTCGAGCATTCGCAACTTCAATGTCCATATCGGTTCGACTCAATGCTTCGACATTAGTCATGACTACGATTTCGACCAATTCACAAACGAGTTCGCTAAAATTGCTGCGATTAATGGTGATCTGACTCCTGAGCTTCTGAATGGACTGCTTGACTATCAGACGTGGTCTCTAACTACCGCGTCCTTATCGCTGACGTTAGCCGCCTGACGGAGCGTGATGTACCTCAGGCTATTCAGATCCAGGGTACAAACGCTGGTTGCCAGGGAACAAAGATGCTTGTTTTGGTTGTAAGCGAACAAGAGCTCTTCTACGATCGTCTAACGGGTGAGGTTTTAGATTTTACCACGGCTTAGTTAGAATGTGTTTAGTAATTTCTGTCATAGGCAAAAAAAATTATTTTTTGTCGCTTAATTAAGTTCGTTGAGTAGTTTAGGGCATTTCTCAATTACGAATGGGTTCTTACGAAGCCAATCGATATAATTTGAATCGGTGCGACTAATTTGCTTTAGCGTCTTCCCCTTGTACTTGCTTCAACTCATCATATACGAATTATCATTGCTAAGAAACTTGGAGTGAAGGAAAATCTTGATATCCTCAGTAATATTGAGCCTGGGTTGGTTGTGCATCCATTGACAATACCCGGGATCAGAAGCATATACTTCTTCGATCGGTGTGCCCTTGTATTTTCCAAAAGTTAGTTCGTTCGACACGTTATTAGTTATGTACATAGGGTCTTATTTTTTTGAAAAAAATAAATTAATTCTGAAATTCAGACAAACCTGTTCTCAGTGGTCGAGCGGTTCTGAAACTACCCTAAGGTCGAAAAGACGTTGCTTTCGGTCGAGAGGTTGCGTCGCCAGAATACCAGCTGCCTCGGAAGAACGTTCCAGAACTGGTCTCGGTGGTAAATTACGGAAAGTAATAAAACTGCCGGCGTAATGTTCCATGTCATACTACTAACGTTTTTATCAGCTTTTCGATTTGAGTTTGCTGCCACTTGATCCGCTTGGTAACGGTAGACGACAGGAATTTTAACCGCTTCAGCCTCCAAGTCTAGATCTCTGCAATAGTCCGACAAATACCGGATAGATGACCCAAACACACCCAGATCTGCGCTTTCAGATTTGGGATCGACTGAGAGGGATTTTCTTACAACGAATCACTCACCTCCATAATAAACCAACGGACTTCATCAAGAATAGTTCCCTTTCATTTACTTTCATAGCTTTCCCATAACCATATTTAGGAGTGCAGCTTGAGTATTCTCATCGCTTAAGCCATCGGTGTCATTTCCACGGCCGAACGGCCAGTTCCTCCTTGACTTTTATTTGGATCATATTTCAATCATCACATAAATGGTCAGCTGATCAAATCCCTTGACCCTGTCGAAAGTTGATCAAATCCCTTGACCCTGACGAAAGCTGATCAAATCTGAAGTGACTCGAAATTGTTTTCGTATACAAGTCCTTCTGCATGCATTTCTATATATACAGAAATTTGTATATCTTTACTACTCTACGTAATCTACGCGTTCGTCGTTAAGGTGTCTGCACTTCCTCCAAGTTCCACAGGGACAGGGAGATCTAGTGGCTCAGGAGCTAGACGTTGCCGTTTTTTCGCTCGGGACTTTAACATATCCTCAATTCGGTTGACATAGCGTTTCGATAGAGCTTGGATTATGCCGACCAATGATGGTAGAGAAGGATGTGGAGCTGTTAGCTCCGCGTTTATCTCGCGGTTAAAACGCTCTAAAATATTATTAGTACGACTTACCATAGCAGCACCCACCTCATGAATATTTCAAACACTAGGTGTGAATATCTTCAGCCACGTTGTACAAAAATACGACCAAAATCGCTTCCTCAACACGTCCGACTACCGAATGCTCTTGGCTACACACGTGTCTCTTATCTTGTCTTTCACAAATTTGATACCTTCGTCTTTGATCTTCTCGTGCGGAATGACAGGCAGCATATCCAGACAGCCCTTACTCATTGCAATGACGACCTCACTTTCAGGGAGGCTTAGTGGCTTCATCTTCCTCCGGCAGGCCTGCTTAAAGTGAAAGTAGCAGCCGACGATATCTGCATCCGAAAATTGAACTTGTGCTGCCTTTTCCAATCCAGCCTCAAAGTCGCAGACCACCATGCTCGACTCGATTTTGTCGTCTGCAGCGACATTGACAGCCTCCATCAAATGCCAGTACGTAAATTGGGTCTTTGACGTGCACAATGTATAAAATACAGGGACGAATAGGTCCGTTGCATTCTCAAAAACCATCATTACCGCGCACTGGTAGAATGGGCGCGGGACGCACCTGAATGTCCGGTCGAGAAACAACGTAGTCTGTTTGTACTTCAGTAGCTTGATCAGATCAGGATGGCCCAACCGACTAAGCGCTCTAGTGTTGCTCCATTCATATAGGACCTGTAAAATTGAAAGAATGGCTGTGTGGTCCCCGATACCAGTGACAGCGGCGGAACCTCCACAATACCATGAAAATCTGCATCAAAGTGAGCACGTCTCGCTCGGCGAACTCGCTGGAAAACTGCTCACGTGTAAGTCCGAATTGCACCAGTGATACTTCCTCAGGGTAGAAGTCGCTGCGAATCTGCATCCAGATTCGTTCCGCCGTCAGGTCCATTCGAGTGATAGCCATCACATCAGTGGCCTCCTTCATGGATTCGGTAACAGCTACTCCAGGTAATTCCACTCTACGCCGGTCGCAAGAATGTTCACCACGACTTTGGTACCCATTTGGCTTGATATCGTAATGTAACTTTGCCTTACATTTTGTACTCCGGTAGGAACTTCACCTGTACGAAATCTTAACCTCCAATTTATGGTAACCTGTAAATACGTGACCAGCTGCATGGACAACAGTGCGACGATGATGCTGAGCACTGTTCGCGGGAACATGCGGTGTAATACCTTCAGCGGCTTCACCGTCTGCAGGATGCCCAGTAAAAGGTGAATTTAATATGGCACACTGGTGATCGCCTTCTCTACTAAAAAATATATATAGGTGATCGCCTTAAGCTGCCAGGAAAATGCTCGCTGCAGGCATCGCTAGCGTCTCGTTGAGGAGTTGAGCTTCTTCCCCGAGCTGCACGTTGTCGAGGACTGCAATCGCGCCGAGTGTAAGAGCTACAGCGACGACTTGAGCTTCGGCGTCGACTCGACCAGCTCACGTAACTTGAGCTTCTCCGACGACTCCGTCTCTGATCATGTCAACGGTACGTTGAAGACTTCGGCTGTAGCGGCAATGCAAAGAGCGCCAAGACGAACTTGTGCCGCGCCAGCGACTTTCACGGGGTTGTACAGAAGGGATCTGGTGCCTTGGGCTATATTCTCGAAGAGACGTGCGCCGACGACTTGTACTGCGGCTTGGACTGCGACCGCGACCAAAACTCCGCCGGCGACGTGGGCTTGGGCTGCGACCGCGACCACGACTATGACTGCGCCGACGACTTGGACTGTACTCGCGACCGGTCGAGTGACGATGACGTGAACTGCGGCCACGACCAGCAGAGTCTTGATGGCGCGGACCGTTGCAGTGGTCGTCGACACGCCAACAGCTTGGACTGCGGCAGTAGCGAGACTTATTCCAGCAACCTAACATACGTCACGAAGCTGAGACGCTCTGAGAGATTGGGTTTCGCATGCGCTCGGGGCTGTGCCGAGATCTCGCAGTGCTCTGGTGCCTTGCACTGCACGGAGGCGAGCAGATAGTGGCCTCGTGAAGTGGTGAAGAAGGTGCTGGAGACGCTACAACTTGCTGGTTCATGGTCGTACAGGAAGGGCGCTACTTATCTTCGTTGTCGGAAAAGTGTAAATGACGGAGGTGGTCGACCACTCATATCCATACTTAAGATGGATATTTGATCAAATCACTTGACCAGGTACGAAATAGAATGTTGACCATTTTTGTGATAATTGAAATATGGTCCAAATAAAATACTTCGCACGCAACAATCGCAACTCTGGAATAAGTAATGACGTTGACAGAGCATTCATTCCCGATACATCCACCATCTTTGGTTTGGGTCCAGTGTGGCATCCAGGTCTCATACAGAGTCTCCTGAGTAGGATTAAGAAAGTTGAACTTTGCTATCGATCTCCTTTTTTGTCCTAGGTCCTCTCCAGTTACAGAATTCCAATTAATTTCAACATGTTCATCAATCTTCTCATCCTCGTCATACGTCTTGTAGCTGTAGCCGTGGAGCAACCTGTCCATAAAAAAGCACAATTTCTTGTACGTCGCAGCGAACGGAGTCGCCCCCAGAACAGCACGAAATCTCGCACGGTTAGCACCTTTAAGACATTTCGAACCAAAGCGTTCTTTACTATTTTCAGTGTACTCATGCTCCAAAAGAAGAGCAAAGGAATCATCCTTTTTCCATCTTGCTAATGGCTTGGGCAAGGTCTTCATTCAACGATTCATCCGGGTTTAGCTTCAATGGGAACATCATTGAAAGTAGACAAATTAAATACTGTTGTACACCTGTACAAGGCGAAACCCCTTTGTCACGTTTTCCCAACGCATGCTCAGCGTCAACAGAGTGAACATCATAATAAGCGAATAACGCCGAGCTACCATTGACTTTACCAAAGTCATGTCGATACTTCGCCTCGTCGTCTCGGTATTCTGGTGCTTGAGAAACTGTTCGCCTTCTCCATATACCAGTAATTTATAGAGTTACATTTTCTCTATTAATAAGTGCCGCCACGGCCAGCATTCGTCCAGATATACCTATGTATACCTTTTCATTATCCAGACGGTATACGTTTGAATTAAACTCGAAAAAAACAAGGCGGCTGTTCGAGGCCAGGATTATCGACGTGGAGTTATACATGTGAATAATTAAGAATAATCCTGGCGACACAATCTAGCTTAAAATACGTATTCATGTGGGGAAGATTCGAGAAGATTTGCTGAGGACGTGAGATATAAACGTGGGGCTATCGTATAGTCAGGATTTAATTCTGTTGTATCCAGGACTATGTCCTGGTCACAGATTCGTACTGTAATGAATATACCATTTAGCATGATTAATCAGGTATTTGGCCATGATTTAATCCTGGCAGCCGACTTGAAGTCTGGATTCCTGTCTGCAAACGCGATCTCTTTACGCTCACTACGACGAAGCCCTATCAATGCTGCCTCTACGGAAAACTCCATGTCAAATTTACTGAGTTGCAAGGTAAGACAAACTTGCATTCGATGAGGTTAAAGATATGTATTCAATGTAGTTAATGCATGCGAGACTTACAACCAGCACAATTAGCTTGTGGATGTCGCGATAATGGCTGAAGGGATTTCTTCGTCGTTGTCTTGGGGCCTTGTTTTTTC